AGGTCCAGCGGTTGGATGGCCAAAACCGACAGCTCCTCGGGGAGGTTGCCGAGTTGCGGGGGACGGTTTCCTCCCTACGCGCCGATCGGGACGCTGTCCAGCGCAAACTGGACAGTGTACAGAGGAGAAACACCGCCCTCGAGGCCGANGTAGAGGCCTTACACGAGGAGCTCCGCGATCTGAGACGAGAGCTGACCTCGCTAAAGATGGCGAAGCTCCGAGCTCCCACCAANGAGCCGCGGGAGCAACCGTCGCTCCCGCTGGGGGAATCTCCGCTCCCCCAGCGGAAACCGAGGTCGCGTGGGCCAACGTCCCGCCTGGCACCTACCCGGGGTTCCAGCCCGGAGTCCAGTCGGAACATGGACGTCTCCCCCCCTCCGGCAAGGAAGACAGACGGGGGCGACAGGGCGGTGGGTTCTCCACTGGGTCTGGGAGCTCCACGAGAGGAGGAGCGCCTGGCCGCGCTCCCTCAGGAACAAAAGGACACGAAGTCCCTCCTGAGGGATCACACCCGCGCGGTCGACAAACTGATCACCGAACGGCTGGACAAGTTTTTCCAGTCGTTNGTGGATCGACAGTTACGCCCTCCTCTAGGGAGCGGTCCCCAGAAGGAGACAGTGGCGGTGGCCCGAACGGAGACGGGGGACGGCAGCCGAGCCGCACCTGGTGCGACGACTGCGCTGGTCCCCCTGCCCNCGGTCCGACCGNGACAGGAAACTTCTGGGCCCTCTCAGACTCAGAAGTCGAGGGCCAAGAAGAAGCGGAAGGCCAAGCAGCAGAAGAAGGAGGCCAAGGGAAAGGAGGGAGGCGAGCAGCGGCCGGGAACCGGTCCGGTGGCAAGTGCCACCCCCCGAACACCCGGACAAGGGTTCGCCCCCTCCGCGTCCGCCTCCCAGCCTTCTGCTCCCACCACCTCACAGGACTCTTGGTCCCAGGTGGTGGGACGCAAAAAGAAGAAAAAGCCGGTTCCCCAGACCTCCACCTCAACACCGCCCAGCGGCAAGGGCGGAGGCAAGGGAACGCAGGCGGGAACGGCTAAGCCAGCTCCTCCCAAGCCCCGATTGGGCCGGCCACCCCGCTATTCGGCGGTGGTACTCTCGGCTCCCGAGGGGGCCAGCGGCAGTTTTGTCGGGGAGGTCCTGGCATACGTCCGCTCCAAAGTGGCATTGGAGCCACTGGGCGTCCAGGGCCTCCGCGCGAGGAGGGCTCTCACCGGGGCCCTCGTTCTGGAAATCTCCGGAGAGGGCAGCGACACCAAGGCGGAGGCGCTCTATAACGCCATGCTCCCCTTGGTGTCGGAAAAAGGGGGACGGCTCGCGAGGCCGGTTAAGACCGCGGAACTGCGCGTTCGGGGCCTCGACGAGTCAGTCTCCCCAGCAGAGGTCCAGGCGGCGGTGGCGTCGGCCGGGGGGTGCGCATCGGCCACTGTACAAGTTGGCCAGCCGCGTGCCTCCCCCGGTGGGATGTACACCGCATGGGTGAAGTGCCCCTTGGCTGCAGCCCAAAAAGTTGTGGCGGCGGGGGCGCTCACCGTAGGGTGGGTGCGNGCACCTGTGGAGGCGCTGGAGCAGCGTCCTCTGCAGTGCCACAGGTGCCTCCGGCGCGGGCACGTGTTGTCGGCGTGCCCGTACACCGCACCCGAGGAAGACAGACGCGGTCGCTGCTTTAACTGCGGCGACCGCGGGCACAGGGTGTCGACGTGCACGTCGGCACCCAGGTGTGCCCTGTGTGCGGACCTTGGACGTCCCGCCAACCACCGCCTGGGGGGCAGGGCTTGCGCCCCAGCCCCCAGTAAAGGCAAAGGAAAGCGGGCGCCCAAGGCCGCGAGCCTCCCGAGTGACACGCAGGCCACTCCGGAGGCGGGAANCCCCTCTGCTGGTGCTCCAGCAATACGGGGGAAGGAAGCGCCCGCTGCCNAGTTAACTCCGACAGCGAGCGGCAGCGAGGGGATTGCACCCCCCTCCCCTCCTGCGAGTAGGGCCCTGGAGGAGGATAGCATGGACACGNCGTAATGTCCATGCTCCTCCAGGGTAACCT